GATGGAAAGGGAGAGCATCAAGTAGGATGGCAAGGGAGAGCAACAAGTAGGATTGCAAAGAAGAGCATCAAGTAGGATGGCAAGGGAAAACATCAAGCAGGATGTAATGTAATTGTAAGTAGAAGGGATGGCAGGAGGGAAGTGGGGTGGATCATCAGAGCAAGGGGGGGGGGAGAGATGCTGGCATGCCACAACTTGAAGTCAATGTTAAAACGCCTGTTGATCTTCTTACTGTTGGTACAAGTCAACAATCTCAGGAATGTCTTCTAACTTTATTATAAAAGTGGAATGCACTTTAAGAATGTCCTTGACAAGCTGTTGCACATGGCATGTTCTATTTAATACACAGCTTCTAACTGGTGATCTGTAATTGTTCTATTTAGCACAGAGGTTTTCTCAAACGCAAATAAATGTACCAGCACTTTAATCTAATCATGGGAACTGATGATGCAAGCAAGAGTCATGTTGTGAAGATGAACAACGATGCCACTCTACAAGTAGTCAGTCACGTGATTAATGTTGACAGAATGATAGTGGTCACAAGTAGTCATGATTTTAAACAATGAGATGACAAATTACAACTTGTTCATGTCATGTTTTGCGACCTTGGATGCACGCGGAGCATGGCAGCAGACTGTCACCACAAGTTGTCTAGATTCAGTAGAGTTGTTCTCAAGAAACAGCAAAACAATTACAAGTAAACTCTCGCTCAGGGGTCGTCAACATGAGGCCCACGGGCCGCATTCGGCCCGCCGGGAGTCATGATGCGACCCGCGGAGCTAGGTCATGTTTACTTTATTGTACGTATCACCAAAAGAACATTGCATCACGAGTCTTTCGCATAATATGTTTTTTATATTATAGTTAAGATAAATTTGAAATAACTCGCATTTAAAAAAAAAATATTGGCTTTGAGCTATTTTAAAAATTAAGAAGTTTTCAAGACAGGTGGACTATACATTATTTTTTTCACTGATTTAAAACAAAGCCCATATGACTGATATGCAACGAATCTGTTTCTGTTTTGAAAGAGTATTACATCAAACTGCACTTCGAGACTAAACATGCACATACGTTTGATAAGTAGAAAGTAAGTGACTTTTTAAAAAAATCTGCACAACAAAAGCTATTTATTAGAGCTGGTTCAGAGTCAACATGCTATGTAAAAGCCAATTATGCAGTACCCATAAATCAATAAAATATCGAATCCATATTCAGATGGTGACATGGTTAAAAAAATTTTGGAGAGCTTCGTTGAAATTCTGTGTCCAGAAAAGAAGAAGGATTTCTAAAAAAAAATAGGTATATCTCGTCAGAGTATTACTAAGCGTGCGGACTACATTGGAAAACATATTTAAATATAATTTCAAAAGTCGAGCATCCGAGTTTATATTTTAGCATTCGGTAAAAGCACAGCTATGGCAGATACTGCCCAACTGGCAATTTTTGTATCTTGGGTGTTGATGTCCATATTAAATTAACAGAAAAATTAGCGTTACTACAACCACTTCAGGACACTAATAAGTCACGAGATTTGTTAGAGGCAGTTACATCGACATTGAATCGCTTTTCGTAACAATTTAACAAGTGATCGCGCTTAACAAAGGGTGGTGCTCCAGCAATGATTGGGAAACACGGGGGTTTAGTCATATGGATTGAAAATGAGGCCTCCAAAGTCGGTAATCCTTCAATGCTCAATTTTCATTGCATTATTCATGAGGAGAAATTATGCTCGAAGTCCCCTACAAGTAAAACTGGTTCATATCATGCAAGTGGTTGTCAAAATCCATGTAGTGATCTTCAATAAGCCGAACAGGTTGAAGTTCTTTGTACTCCGATTATAATGACGTTCCATTTCATGCCGAAGTAAGCTGGCTGACCCGTGCCCAAATGTTGGAAAGGGTGTTTGATTTGCAGGACTCATAATATAATCATTCTTTGCAAGCAAGTCGATAAGTATCCCAAGAGTTTGAAGACGAAGAGTGGGTTTGCGACTTTGCATTTCTGGTCGATAGAACTAGCCATATAAATGACGTCAATACTCGTCTACAAAGGAACAATAAATTAATTAATAAGAGGTACCGGGTATGATCATATTTCTACATTTCAAATGAAATTTGGTCTCAAAACAGTTGAGGACAAAAAACTTGACTCACTTTCCTCCATTGTCATGGCAACCAGACGTCACACAAGAGGCGGCGGAGAAATACGCTTCTTAGATATCTAACTTAAACCTCGAATTTGAAAGCAGATTTCAGGATTTAAAAAAACAACAAACATCTATGTCCTTTTTTTTTTGGTGTGCAATTGCAACGCCATTCGCGGTAGAAGTGAATTTATTACCAGGATGATTATAAATGGAACATTGTGAAATGTGTTGTGATACACAGTTAAAGGAGAAATTCCATCACGTTGGTTTGGAAGAGCTCTATAAAAGGTATTTGGGCAACGGTAAATATCCTGCGTTTTACAAACATGGTCTCTGTCGATGGTTTCGCTATTTGGAGACACTTGTGCGTATGAAGAGCTTTTGAGTCGTACGAAGCACATCAAATCACAAGTGAGAACACGAATCACTGGAATGCGAAGATATGGTCTAAGCTGTAGCACGCTTGCTTATTTGCTATAACTTAAAAAAAAAAAAATCAGGCACGTGGCCCGGCAGGAAATATTATTTCTGAAATTTGGCCCGCCTGCTGAAAAGGTTGGCCACCCCCTGCTCTAGCTGGTGTGTTGTAGAAGATAGTAAGACTGTGATGGAAAGGAAGAAGTTCCCTAAATCTATCCGATAATTGTGTTCCCCATGCTTAGTAATGTAGCACAAGCCATTCAATATCAACTATGTTATTACATACTAAGGCAAGAGTTTATGTGAAGAACAGACCAGTACACCATTTCAACACCTTTTATGTTGTACCATGAATAAACTGCATTGTTTTATGTGACTAAAACGTTTTCTTCCGTTTCTCTATTTCCATTCAAACAACATCCAAGTTTTGTATAGATCTACTTCTATAATCCAATTTTTATCTTGGTTTGGTTTATTTCCTGGTTAATCCTTAATTCGATATCAACTAAGTCAATTTTTTTTCTTTTTTTCATCTCGAAGATACCTCATATTGTGTGCTACTACATATTTCTCTCCATCTCCCTAATATTGTGTGCTACTACTTATTTCTCTCCATCTCCCTAATATTGTGTGCTACTACATATTTCTCTCCATCTCCCTAATATTGTGTGCTACTACAAATTTCCCTTGTTCCAGCTAGACAGGATTATCCTACACATTTTAAAAACTTTAAACTAAAGATAATTTAAATTGATAAAAAAAAAGATCTACTAAAATTTCCTCAAGTAATATCTACTATACCGGTATATTGTTCTAATAAGATCTGCTGTAATTTGTTACAATGCAATAATTTATTCTAATGAGATCTAATTTAATTTGTTCTAATCACTCCATGTTAGCCCAATTCAGCACACTCACTCATTGAAATACGAACTAAGTTAATGTACGTAAAGTACGGTCAAACATGAAAAAAGGAATGCAACAAAACAACCAGTGTGTCTGCATGAAGCAGACTTGCTCATTTCCTATTTTGCTAACCTGATTGCAGTCCCTCCCCTTATTGTCATTGAAATATATTATATACATTATTTTGTTTTCAAAAGAACGAGTTGGACTGGAAAAAACCTTTCACCTAAATAAAGGTGTACAGTGAAGTCACCAGAGATACAGGAATAATGGCAGCTATAAAACAAAGTCTTGTCCGGCTTGATCCATTAGAGCCGTGTGACAAATTTAAACTGTTTTCTAAAACCTCTGAGACACTAGTTTTCAAGTGTTAATAAATAGATCTGCTGCATCAGTGAAGGGCTGCGTCAAGGTCTATCATGACAATGACATTAGATGACACCTTAATTTATAGCTTCTGCCTTACATTCTTCTCCACAAAACTGAAACAATCTTTTTTTTCACATCCACTTTTATTCATTTAAATTAAATCAAAATTGTGTTACACACCAGTGAACCTTTTCCAACACACCAGTCAGTACACACCAATTTAAAAACTGATAGTTTAGAGTTGACTGACACACTACATTACAGTTGGTGCTGCCTACCTCAAAACACAAGCAGAGAAGCCTACCTTAGAAGATATGTCATTAATAATGGTATACAATCAAAACTACTTAGTATACAGGGGAACTTGCTTACGTTTAAATCTATGTCCTACCCTAGGGAGATATGTCAATAGTTCTAAAAAATTGACTACCGGTACCTATGATTATCCTAATGATATGGGGGTACTTACTAATGTATAAACCGATTTCCTACCCTATAGAGTATTTGATTAGTAATGGTATAAAATTGACTATAGAACCTTATATATGGGTGTGCTTGCTTATGAGTAAAAGTATGATTTAATTCAAATAATAAAAGAACTAAACCAATAATAGCAAGACAACAGAACTCGTCAAATTAAATGTGCAGTGTATCACAAGTCCACACTTTCAATACATTTAACACATAGGTCGCCTGACCTCCACCAAACAATAGCTACAACTATAAGCTACCATAGCAAAGCTGATATAATGATGATGGTTCACTTTATCCTTCAGGAAGCAGCTCCCACCAGCCTAGACAAACAAGATCACCACATACTCTCTTTTTCATAAACCTGAGACAATAAGGAGAGTTTGGTCAGTGAGGGATTTCAATTCAATGCCACATACAACATATCCTCTAGTTAAGGTAACAAGAATTTAAACAAAAATGTTTTTTTTTGGTAGAATCTTAACTGCTGGCAGCCGGGTATGATGACCCATTTTTTTTTTTTCTTTTTTTTTTTTTTCTTTTCAGAATCTTTGGTTTGTGTTATTTTTATTTGTTTTTCCTAAAGTCCCCT